CCCCAAAACCCCAAAACCCCAAAACCCCTGGGGGGTGTGTTTTAATTGAAAGATCGAATTAATTTATTTAGTTTTTATCTTGACTAAATTTAAGACTCTAGTCACACTATCCAAAGTTTTAATGATGTCATACACAATTATTGAGTAAAATATTTGAATAAGAATCTAATACTCGCTCTCAAAGTGAGACAATGATCTATTCTTGATACAATCCTTGATGTGACTACAGGTAATCACCATTTTACCCATGCTCTTGCCTGGGAAGTGATACAAAACTTTATCGTAATCAATTGGCTTGTCTTGGTACTCTTTCTTGATGATTCTCTTTAAAGCCTTGACTTCTCTAAAGGAGAACTTCTTGTTACTTAATTTCTTGACTCTGTAGACCAAATTTTTAAATTTGCATTTCCACTGGATCTTCTCAGCCAGAGCTGCCACTCCTTGGTTATTGTCTGCTTCAGTTTCAGTATTCATTGCGAGGAGGCTTTCAAGCTGGAGAACCCCTTGCTTCTCAAGAGATCTAATAGCTGCGAAGAGTTTCTTATCTTGGCATTTGCCCCATCTAATCATTCTCCTTTTGTTTTTAGGTGAAAGAGGAAAATCGAACTGGGCTTTCTCATCAGCTTCTTCAACTCCGAAGTCATCGTCAGGCTGAGCTTGCTTGTCTTCTTCAATTTGAAGCTTTAACTTCAGTTGTGTGTCTTTTTCTACAGAATTCTCAGGCTTAGTTAGTTCCTTTTGAATCTCCGATTGGTCTCCAATATTTCTTTTACAATTTAAAGGACTAACTTTGGGGTTTGGAGGAGGCATCAGAGTTCTCTGCAGCATATTTACAAGTTTTGATGCAGTTTTATTGATTTCGAGAGAATTGTCTTGCACTGATGATTGAGCTAGATTTCACTCCTGAACTCCTTGGATCAATTCTATAGTCTCTAGAGTCTCTACTTTCTGATTAGTAAGCAGAGGTTTAGTCTGGGTCTTTTTTATAATCAATTTTGAGAGATCTTGAACACTTCAGTGAACGAATTGTTTCTGAAACTTTGTTGAGTTGAATCTCTGAAAAGCCCATTCAATTGGCTTTTGGTATTCTCCATATCAATTTTGAGCCTGTTAGGATTGATTATGGCAAATAACACAGCAAAACAGAATTTTAAATGAAACACCAAATCAAATTGTTCAAATGAATTGAAAATATAGTGAGACAATTGGTAAATGAAATGGATTCAACTTCTCATAACTAGCTTTTATTCAATCGAAAATTCTAGAAAATGCTCAAAGAGGCTTTTATGATTTAAAGAAGTCATTTAATGAGCCTGAATAATTACTAGCAACCCCTATTCTTCCAAAACTGGGTGTTTGCTTACAAATACTTAAAAGTGTTATTCTCTCATACTCGAAATTCAAATGTAAAACTATCCTGAGCTTACCTGTAAAGAGTCGGGGGAAGTCACCATCTGTTTGGGTCAGACTTCAGGATCCATATATAGTTTGTCTTTCAGGTCTACTCAAAGTTATTATTCCAATCGGAATTAGTTCAAAATCTGAGGCAAGAATTATAGATAAAAGTTATAGAAGTAGTCATGATGTAAAGAAATCCGGATACTAGTACATCTAAGAATTTTGGTTTTGTAAGCCAAGTTCGAAGGTTATGGCAATAATATTGAGAGGAAAAGTAGGCCTAGTAGCTTAAGATCTTATCATTCAGTCTCTGTTCTTTAGGAGCTTTGTATTTTCACATTTTTGCATTTAAGAAGCTGAAGTCTTTGGCAATCTTTGGAAACTTACGTATTACTTGCCAGTTGATACAAAATTCATTAAATCAAATTTAGAGATGCTTAGATAACTAAAGTAACTGTGCACAACATAAACATACTTGAAGCAACTCTATCCCACATCGACATACCATCTATTAATGAGCAAAGCAATTGTTCCACAAAAAGATTCAGCGAATTTGGAAGCTTGGGAATATTGATGGAATCTACTAACCAAATCTTGGCTCTAAGGATTCTGGATGTCTACGAGTCGAGTTTCACAAACCCCTGTTTTGAGAACTTAGGAGCCCCAACAAATCTGGGATGGACAGGCCTATTGCTTGATATGAATAAGGTTTATTTTACTTGCATCTCTGGACGCCATATTATAAATTAAAATATTCCAAGTTCTAGTTCATCAACCCAGCTATTCTTTAAGGGGTTTTGGGGTTTTGGGGTTTTGGGGTTTTGGGG